CCCTAAACCCATCCTACACCCCCAAAATCCTAGGCGGCCGTAGAGCTTCAGAAGCTCGACAGTGCACATGCGATCGACCACGAGCTTGCAAAGCCTGGCTGCTGGAGGGGGGGGGGCCTTAAGAAGGGTGCTTCGGGTTTAGGGTTTAGGGTTCAGGGTTTAGGGTTTAGGGTTTAGGGTCTAGGGTTTAGGGTCAAGGCTTGTGGTGTAATCTTTAGTGGTAATTAGGGGCTTAAAGCTTGCGGCGTGAAGGTTCTGAGGATCAACCGGTTGGCCGCAATCGCTTGTAGCAGGAAAGCAATGTTGCCGTCTTTGGCTTGCGTGACGGTCGAGAACGATACTTCTTGTGCTTGTCCCTGGTCTGCCGGTCAGTCATAAGGCTTGTAGAAGCGCTTGAATTGTTGCTTGGAGTGGAGCGTGCAGGCTCAGGGCTATAGACTTCGAGTGTTCCCGCCTTCAGGGTCTTACGATCTGGGTGGTTCCCTAAATTAGGTTCCCTGTGAGGATCCTTTTTTGTAAGGGTGCCGTACTATAACCCAAAAAGGACCCTAATTCAGAGAACTACGCAAGTTCACAGCTTGGGCGGGCAGGGCCGTAATTAGGGCCTAGAGCATGGAGTCTGGGTAAAATGTAGGGGCCTTAGTAATTAGAATAGGGCTTAGGGTGCATCATGAGGGACTCAGCTGGCATGGCAAAACAATGGAAAACACGTGACAAGTGGCCTAATGTACAGCCTAATGTACTTTAGGGTTTTTGGGGTATATTATACTGTAATTATAGTAAAGGACCCCCAAAATAGTATAGGTAACTGTTACGGCCCCTATATTATGTGCAACATAACGGCGCTTACTAGTCTTCACACAACAACTTTCTTCGGGTGAGCAAACTGCTGTCACGAGTTTTCAAGTGGTTGGTGCAGTTTCTGCGCTAAGGAAAGGGCGTGGAGCTTTGATGCTGAAAATCCGGATTGCTAATCAATTCATCCCGATTGCCTGCCCCCACAAACCAGTCCAAGCACGCCCGTTTATAAACCCGACACAAAAGGCAGCTAAGTCACTCTTGCCCGCTCAACAGGGACACGTTGACACTGAGCCTGAAGCAAGACGCGGAGATGTGCTTTCGAGTGTGTTCTCGAGCTTTCCTTTTGGTCATGATCCTACTACGCTCGAAAATACGGTACCCCATCTTCTCACATATGTCTGAGATACGAGTTCTATGACGAGGAAACACAGATCCATATGCAGTAGGCAGCACCACATAAATCGCCAATGCAAAGAAGGCACCGGGAATACTCGAAACAATGATGTCTGGCAACGGTAACAGAGTAGAAGAACATCTGCAAGACAACCAGGTTCGACGTCAGCACGAAGTGCTGCACTTCATCGTTGGAGCTACTCTTCTGGGGGTGTTAACTACAGTGCCGTAGTGTTCCCACTTTCCGGCAGAGAAATGCATAACCTTCTCCAAAGGAAATCCCTGAGCGTGAATCAGCCGTTACACTTCAGAAAGCGAGTCCGCAGAACCCATAGGATTTGGACCCTAGGGCTTAGGATTCTTGTAAGGCTTAAAGGGCAGGGATTATTCTTAGAGTTTGTCAGAAATCCCCCAAACTGCCTCCCCCAAACAAGAACCCGGCACTCAACAAAATTCCTGAACGGTACGTCGAAACCCAAACCCTAAATCCAAAACCCTATCGACCCAACAAAAAGAAATTGAACCCTAAACCCCTAAAGGCCCTAAAGCCTGAACCCTAAACCCTGAACCCCTAAAGGCCCTAAAGCCTGAACCCAAAGCTGCGGCCCCGGGACGGGCTGTGATCTTCTTGAGGCTCGGAGTCCTTGGCGCATGCGAGGGGCTCGACGTCCCGGCTTGGGGGCTCTTGATGTTCGTTCCTTCAGGCCCAAACCCTAAACCCTATACCCTAAACCCTAAACCCTATACCCTAAACCCTAAACCTATACCCTAAACCCTAAACCCTATACCCTAAACCCTAAACCCTACAGCCCTAAACCCTAAACTCTTAAGCTTAAGCCTGAATGCTCAGCTTCAGCCTTCTCACGTACAGGAGCGCATTACACCGTTACGGAATGTGAACAAATGACATTCTAGTCTTACCTAGAGGTAAATGGTAATTATGGTACATAATTACAGCGATTTACAGGGTAGGTGCATGTCCGATTACAAGTATTCCTTAATAACTCTTGTATTGACAGTACTGTCGATGATATACAATAGTTATTTATTTTAAGCCTCATGTAGGCATCGTCCAACGTGGCTTGATGGTAGTCGATGCCCTCATACAAACAACGCCGTAACAGATCGGCTCCTGAAACAGTCAATGCCCGTAACTATGACGCTCTAGTCTTACCTAGAGGTAAATGGTAATTATGGTCCATACTTACAGCCATTTACAGTGTCGGTGCATATCCGTTTGCAAGTATCACTTAATAACTCTTGTGTTGACAGTACTGTCGATAAGCTCTTCCCGGCCTCTCCAGGCCTCTTCTGGACCACTTGGCTTTTACTTCCATTTTCTGGTACGCTTAAGAACTTAAGCTTATCCCAAGGTCTTTGGGTGGCTTCTCGGGGTGGGATAAATAGAGCTCCACAGGCGTGACGAAAAACACTTGCTCTGAATATGTCGGACGTCCGTCGCAACAACTTGCCTCGCCAAAGATTTAAAACCTACTGCGGATGTGAGGTCGAAACACCCTAAACCCTAAACCCTAAGCCCTAAGCCCTAAACCCTAAACCCCACTCCCCGGTTTAGGGCTCAAATGGCTCAGGCTTCAGAGTCTTTGAGTGGGTGGGGGAGCGAGGGGGCTTATGGGTTGAGGGCCTTGGGTTAGGGTTTAGGGTTTGGGATTTAGGGTCCAAGGTCTAGGGTTGAGGGTTTTGAAGTTGTTGTTGAAGGCCTTTTCTGGTTCAGAACATGTCCCTTGAAGCCTTTGGATTGAGGGTTTTGAGGGCGCAGGCCAGGTCATGAGAAGATGGCATGCTCGGCCGTGACGCATCGCAGGTCGTGCCCTGTGCTGCCTGCAAGCCCACCCCACCATCCAAACCACGTCTTTGAGGGTTCAGGAGGCTACGCACACCCTAAACCCTAAATCCTAAACGCTAACCATAAACCCTAAACCTTCAACCCAAACCCTAAAACCTAAACCCTAAACCAAAATCCCAAAACCCGGCCATCCGATCTCCTGAAGCCCCCAATCAACAAAGATCCCCAACACAGGGGCCTTCAGACTTAGAACTGGGCTTAAAGGAATGTTAATGTTATTTAGGGTTTAGGGTTCAGGGTTTAGGAATTGTAAGTTATGCAGACCTCTACATGAGTAGTTCTCTAAATTAGGCTCCCTTTTGGGGTCCCCAATATAGTACGGCACCCGTATAAGAAGGACCCTAACAGGGACCCTACTTTAGAGAACTACCCACATTGCACCCACAGCAAGAAGTCAGGCGAAGATGCGCGCCATTGCTCCAGGAGCTTGGTCCAGCCGCTGCAGCAGCCCGAGTCCATGGTGCCCACAGCTGGGTTCTTGTTAAGGGATTGAAAATTAAGTTACCATGATAAGGAAACCTTTTTAAGGTTTAGGGTTTAGGGTTTAGGATTCAAACTAAGTTGTTATAATAAGGAAACCATCTTATTAACTTTAGATCTTTATTGTGGTAACTTAAGTTAGCTTCCTTAACAAGAACCCAGACAGGCAAAGGGGAAGGGGGCTGTAAAAACCGGGGGCTCAGGGTTTCAGGCTGCAGCGTCGGATGGTGGGGCTGAGTTGCGGGAGTTTGGGGTTTAGGAGGGGTTTCGGAAGGAAGAGAGTTCAAAAAAAGGTACTATAGGGGCCTTGATGACTAGACTAGAAAATTTGGGATGCAGTAGGGCATGGCGAGGTTTGCAGGGGATAATATTACTACGGTATGGCTCAGGGCTGAAGGAGGTTGGGTCTTCAGGTTCCGGGTTCCGCCTTGCTGGCTCTTCTCTGCATCCCTTCCCTGCGGAGCTGAGAAATAAGCTGCTCGAGAGAAGGCACAGAAACCCGAAAGGGTTTGGGGGCTGGGGTTTAGGGTTTAG